GAGTTCCGAAGTTCGAATATCGGCGAGGGTACTGCACAATTTCCACGTCTCCAGCATAAAAAAATCTAATGACTGTACAAACTTTACTGTAAGTTACTGATGTGCTGACATCAGTTGTAAAATTGTTGAAGATATTGCTAAGTATCATGTCTAAAGGCCCGTTTCCACTGCTGTGTATGTGTTTCTCCAGTCAGAAAACAAGTTCACTTTGATTGACCGCAAGCAAATTCACTTTGCAATCCGGTCGATGTGCGAGGACGGATGGACGGATGATGTTCAACTTTTATTCGTATGTCTGCGGATGCGTTGGGGTTACGTGGTAAAAAAAGGAACAATCAAGTGTTGTCACCAAAAATTAATGGTGGCAGAAGTAGGGATGAACGCTGGCTTAGGGAAACAATGTTTTGCTAAAAAATACTTATTTCTGAATTAATATTATAGTGAGAAATCTGCGTATTGAAAAAGACAGCAATCAGCTGAATTTAGTTTAAAAAAGATAAGAAAAATTAAGATAACTGCAACTACAGTACTAGTTCTCAGAGAAAATCAGGCATTCAAGAAAATCAGGTGCAAAAAATATTATTCTAAGTCCATGAAATAGCAAAATTTGTCCTGACAATTATTTCTTAGTTCTGCATACACATTTACCTTTAATGAAAATGAATGTCTGACTATATCAAACTGCTACAGCAAATCAGATATCTCATTAAAAGAGTTATTTTTTTTTTCTTTTGAAACGGGTAAAAACTAAAAACGTTAATTATAAATTAAATTTAATAGCCTTTTAAATATTCCACTACATTAAAGAGTATGTGAAATTTGTATTTCTCTATTTATAAATATACGTTTCGGCTAATATATATTTGTAAGCACATGGAAAATATTTTTAGCAGCGCGTTTAACTTCAATCAGAATGCCACTTTAGAAGATAATGTTTTTTGTAAGAAATGTCCTAGAAGCTGAAGAACAAACTCTGGTGAATTTTTTAGACAATAGCGCACTCAAATAGGACCAAAAAATTTAGTTTTAGAATTTACTTGATGATGTTTATAAGCCAAAATTGCATACCATACCCGTATGATGGACGATAGCTTATTGGTAAAGTTGACAGTAACATGATTTAGCTTTTGGAGTCGTGAGTTTGAATCCCTTACGTGTTTTCTATCCTGTCTGCAACTTTCTTAGCTTCTTATTCCAGTTTGATCTATATTTGTGTCTTATAATTTACTTCTATTATTATATGCATTAAATATAATGTTTTATTTATGCTCTTATTTATTTAAATTTTCCCCGCAAAATTTTTTTATAAAATTATATAATACGAATTTAAAGCATGCTCCCTGTACATATATATATATATATATATATTTGTTTCACTTTCATGTGAATACATACATGTGCTGAGACTTTGAGACGTTTCAAGCTCTAAACTTTCACTACCAGTTAACATGAGACAGTATTAATGCCCTGAACATTTTTTAAAAAACTTACTATAATAATTGCTTTTAAATTCAGTTCTCTCCAGCAGAAGCACATGAATTAATTAATTAAATAATCCATTTTCTTTACCTAATGTGTGTATATATATACCGTATTTGACGGCATATAAGACGCACCCTTATTTAGACGGCCACATACAAGGAAAAAAAGTTTCAATAGCATGGTTTCTTTTAGTTCTCACGTTTCGTAAAAGCCAGATAAACAATTATTGAATGCAATTACCTTCATGTATAAGACTGTGTCCTTCACGTATAAGACGCAGGTAACTCTTTTGAGACCAAATTTAGGAAAAAAGTGTCTTTTATATGACGTCAAATACAGTATATGTAAGGAAAATAAAGAATATGTAAAAGATTAACTTAGCAGCGAAAATAACCTCCCTTCTGTATTCTAAAAATGGTAACCTCTATTTGCACTCATCATTTTGAGAAAAATCTATGTCATATGACATAATTCTGATAAAACTCAAACAGCTAATAGTAATTTTACAGCAATATTAACCATCCAATCAAAATGCATTGAGAACCAAAACTAACTCAGTCTGAATTAAGATTTTACTTTGAACATAACACACTTGTTTTCACTGCTTTGGCTTAGCTGGACTGCTATCTGTCTGCTCCTTCTTTTTACTGCAAATCTATCAAAAATGAAAGATTTTTAGAATAGGCACAATAAATGTGCCAATTTGTTTGTGGCCACTTCATGTTTACTGAAATAAAAGTTAAATTAAATACAGTCAAAAGTCGTTAATCCGGACTCGTCGGGACTTCGGCGATTCCGGATTATCGATTTTTCCGGATTATAGATCATCAGTTTAAATCTGGTAAGATGGCATGCAAAAATTACAAAATTAAAAATATGAAACCGTAATTTATGAAATAAAGAACAATTATGATCTAAAGGGTATCAAAATTTACAAAAAGAAAAAGCTTAATATTTATTTGTTTACTTTATTAAAAACATTTCCTTCAATGTAAGTTGCTTCGTTTCATGTGATAATACTTTTCTCTTTAATTCTATTAAACAGACATAATTTCTCGTTTAGTTACAAAGTTCCGCTGTTCAAGTCCTATAATTGCTGTGTTGAGAATACCGACTAATTTGTCAATCGAAATGTTTTCGTTTTCAATAACCTCTGGGTCACTTTCTTCACTATCGGAAGCGAATTATAATGACGAGAACTTGATTTAAATCATATCAAAGACGGAGTACATCGAGACGAAATACTAAACTTAGTACGGAATTATAATCCAAATAAAATAAAAACATCTGCTCTGAAGATAAGGATAGTGTTGACAGATCAACTTCCAATCCGCGGCGTGAAATTCATAAACAGATTTCGGATTTCAAAACATACTTTCGCTTTGTAGATACAAATTACATATTAGTAAATATATATTGGAAATTCTATTTGACATAATCTTTCTAGTCTATCATAATCTAATAATGACGTTTCTGCCCCCACCTCTGCCGCAGAGCAGCGTGAAATTGATAAACAGATTTCGGATTTCAAAACATACTTTCGCTTTGTAGTAAATATATATCGGAAATTCTATTTGACATAATCGAAAGTTCAAGCTTACTTTTATAAAATTGCTCTAACAGTCTGCAAAAAAATAATAAGCCGGATCCAATTCGAAGATTAAGGAACAACGCAATCTGCAACATTAACTGAATTAGATAACTTTAGCTTAGCGTATAACTCCGTTAAACATTAAACGCGCATGCGCACAAACATATTCGCAGCCGTAAGGGTCTTACGCGCTCTCGTAAACGCCTGTGCGCATGCGTGAACGCGAAGCCTGCGCAGAAAGTTTGTAGCTTTGAGGTCCGGATTATGGGTGTCCGAATTAACGACTTTTGACTGTATACCTAGACTGTCAAATTTCTTATTCCTTGTGGATTGGCATTTCAGCATTCTATGGCATCAAAATTCTAGCTGTTCATTGTGGATACAACCACCTGCGTTCTACTACAGAAGCTATTACATATATATATATATATAAAGAGAAAAAGCTTATTTTTTATAACTTCTTCTGTAAAAAGTTATATGAATAAAAAAAATTTTAATTAAAAATATTTTATGGATTATGCATAAAATTTAACTGTGCATAGTGCATTTTAAAGCAAACGAAATTTCTAATAAATTATCCAGCTATGACCCTGAAGAAATTAAAAATGAAGAAATATATGCTAAAATTTGATATATTACCTGCTTTCTCTCCAAATTTGGGCATATTATTTTTAAAATATACAATTTCACATGGCAGTCAGCAGAATTACAAGTATAGCAATTTTTGTGTAAATATTGTGAACCTTTCTTTACAGTTGCTCTGTATTTTTAAAATACCAACTATTTTTTAATTTGTTTATTTTTTTTTTTCAGTAATAGAATGTTTAGTAATATATTATTTCATTAATATTTAAGGCTTCTAGAAATGCAAAGAAATTTTAAAAATTTACTTCAGCTTCTAATCAGTGATGTTCATAATATACATTATAACCGTATCTAAAAATTGCTAGCGTATTTTATTTTACCAGTTCATAAGCAGAAATAAAAATTTCCAATAACATGAAATTTAAATATCTTAAGAATCCAAATCCTGTAAGTTAAATACAGTGACATCTGGTGGCAATAAATGCAATCAACTACTGAACTTCCGTATGCATAAATCCAACGCAATAATGTAAACGGTCTTCCATCTGCATATGCCTTTCTCCCAATGACACTACACATTCTCAGCGCAGTAAGGAAATGGGCCCATATGGTCCCATATAGGTCTGAGGTGGATTTGTTTTTCCGTTTTGAATGACTTGCACTAGACGTTTGTTTCATTAGTGTATCTCTTTTCTGGCCTTCTAAGCAAATATCGCATAATGATATGTATGTCGCTTGAGTACAAACCTTCTTGTGCAATCTCCTGTGTTCTGAGAATTATTTCCTTTTTATGGTAACCCAGATAGATAAAAAGCTATGATTACTAAATTGAACTTATGGGCACAATTTGTGACATGGTTGAAAGGGATGAGTGAGACGACAGATGTGGGGTGAGTAAATATGTGCCAGAAGGGAGATGTATGGTAATAATTACATGAAAGGGAGATAAAGTCTGCGTGCAAGCAAATCATTAATTTGCGAGTATCACATGAATTAAGGAGATTATCTTTAAAACATTGCTTTTCATCAGTTTTCATTTAAAAAGTCATAAATAAGTTTTGCATTTAATTGCAAATATTGATAAATTTCATATTACTTTTATAAATGCAAACAATTTTGTATGCTTATATCATATCTTTGATGAGTTCCCCCTTTCTTTATATGTTAATAAATAAAATAAATTGAAGTAAAAATAGTAAACAGTAAGTTCTGATAAACCAGATTTAATTTGAAAACCACTCAATTAAATAAATGATTATATTAAAAGAAATGTGAATTTCTAAATCTATTAGTTTTTATTTTTGTTTTAAAATTTTATTTATTTCATTTTTTAATACCTTAGGTCCATGTAGTGGCAAGACTACTGGACAAGCAAGATTATGTACTTTCTTTGAAAATCTTGGTTGGAAAGTAAGTAATTTGTCATTTTATGCAATTAAATCAAAGAAATAAAGAATGGTATTATAGACATCTTTCAATGTGATCATGTTTTTTTCAGACTATTTTGATAACATTAAACAATGATAAAATATATAAATTAAAATATCAGTGAAATTTAAAGTAACTGCTAATATATATAAATACTTATTTTTACAGCATTTTAACTGGGGAAAATGTCATTAATAGTCAGCAATTGTTAAGCAGAATTCATTTATGAAATATTCAAAATTCAACATGTTTAAAATATTTCTGGAAATTATTTTACCCATGCTGTGCCTCAAATCTTAATACTCAAAGCACATCTCTTATTTCAGCATTTGTAAGAAATTAACAGATTTCATTATTTTCTTCAGAAAGTTTATGATGTGCTTGGATTTATTTCAGAAAGTGACCGGCAGATATCTTCAGTCACTGATGCTGCAACTCGAGTTTTTTTAATCAATATCCATCCAAGCATTTAATTCATCACAATTCCTGTTAGTTGAAGACTTTTTCCCCTTTCTTCATGTTCCTCAATTTCATCATTTATTAATAGTTTATTTAAAACAATTATTTATTGTCTTTTCTGAAATGTGGTTTAAAGACTTACTCCACAAATATAGTGCATGAAAATGGCTAGCAGTTTTTGCTAATTTATTTACACTTGCATCGTCTATGGGTACTCTCTTTCTATCTGCCCTGCCCAATCCTCCTGCAAAGTTGTTAATCATTGGCAACTACTTTTTCTCCAACTATCATGTAAAAACAGTAGCTATTTAAAAAAAAAGTGACAGTGTGCTAAAAATATATAAAGCAACTATGAATTAAATTAAAAGCACAAGAAACATCCCTAATGAAATAGTAAAAATTATGTAAAGCAAACGTCCATAACGAAACTCACAATTTCATGAAACAGTAACAAATTAATGAAATTAAAAATGCAACAAACATCCATTAATCAAACACTGAACCTTTTTTGTTTTCTTGGTATTCTGTCCATGTATGCTTGGCATTGCAGAGCAAAAACTGGCACTGCTTTCCCTGTACACAATGGCTTGTTTTAACTTAAAAAAATAAGAGAACTGCACAAATTAACTTCATGAAATATGCATCCCTGCACTTTGTGCAAGTAAATAAGATAACATATTTGTGAAAAATTGCAATGCTTTCTATACAGTGGCATTATGATTTGTTACAAGGTCTTTCCCTTCCCCAAAAGCAAACATGACCCTCGAATTTCAAAACTGCAGGAATTACAATCACCACTACCGAGATAAATAGCAGCACTCTAAGCGCTATCGTAATGCTTGTGCTGTGATTGGTGGGTTGCCAGATTAATACATCTTCGTAAAATTCTTGGTTGCCTACTTTGTGGCATAGTGCTTTGCATGGTGATTCGTGTCAAGTTTGTGCAGATATTGGGGTAGAGTTATCTGTTACAAAGCAGTAGCTTTTATATTCTAGATCCTTGATTTTTAGGAGACCATTTCTTAAACTCTTATCAACATACCTTGGCTTTAAACTGTTTTAGACATTAAACTGAAATTTGCACGCCAAGATCAGGTTGCAATTTCTTTTTAATTTTACAATTTTTTTACTTTTTAAGAGAAAAGGTACTTTAACATTATCCGCCCAGTGGTAAGAAGAAATACTGGGAAAAGTGCTATGTCGCCAAAGTAGACAACTCAGAATATAATAACATATTTTATCTAGCAACCCATTAATGATTGCACATACATTGAACCAGCATATAATGGGTGCTGTTTTGAAATTCCTATGGAGCAAACAATCAGATTGTATGAAAATGTACTGTTAAAGATGTCGGTGGAGATTTTTTTCAATCTATTGGAAAGCATACTTTGTTATTTAGAAATATGATGCCAGAACATCTTTAAAACAAAATTCATGTTTATTTTACTTACAATTAAAAAAAAACTAGGCTGCAACAGCAACTTTTACAGGTAAAAGTGTTTGGAGCACCAGATCTTCATTAGCTTGCACAGGTATGGCTCCAGTTACTAACCGAATAGAGCAAGGAGGGAAGGACAGAAGAAGAATAAAGCTGCTGATAGTTCTTTAGAGGGAGATTTAGAAGTTTATTTTTAAGTGAGGAGGATAGAAAGGGAGAACAATTATTAGAAGAAAAGAAGAAAACTAGAAAAATTGTCATTGGAAGGTAGTACAGTCAAAAGTCTTTAATCCGGACTCGTCGGGACTTATGCAATTCTGGATTATCGATTTTTCCGGATTATAGATCATCAGTTTAAATCTGGTAAGATGGCATGCAGAAATTATAAAATTAAAAATATGAAACCTTAATTTATAAAATAATGAGCAATATGATCTAAAGGATATCAAAATTTACAAAAAAAAAAAAAAAGCTTAATATTTTTTTTGTTTACTTTATTAAACATTTCTTTCAACGCGCGCATGCGTAAAGCATACATTTATGCATAGACAAAATTAGAAAATTGCAACCAGAAAACTATTTGATATGTATTCATGATATTTATAATGAAGAGGAATTTGATTTAAATCATATCAAAGACGGAGTACATCGAGATGAAATACTACATTTAGTAAGGGATTATAAGCCGAATAAAATAAAAACATCTGCCCTGAAGATAACGATAGTGCTGACAGATCAACTTCCAGTTCATTGCGTGCCGCGACGTCTCTCCCCCCCGCGCAGAACAGCGTGAAATTGATAAACAGATTTCGGAATGGTTAGATAAGCAAAGGATATGCCTTTATCCATTTTTTAGAGCAATTCCACTTTTTGTTTGATGGACATCGAAACATACTTTCGTTTTGTAGATCCTTTGGGAGCTCCAGCATCAGAAATTCTATTTGACATAATTGAAAATTCAAGCTTACTTTTATAAAATTGCTCTTACAGTCTGGAAAAAATAATAAGCCGGATCCAATTCGAAGATTAAGGAACAACGCAATCATCAACATTAACTGAAATAGATAATTAGATAATTTTAGCTTATACCGTCCGTTATACATTAAACGCGCACGCGAAAACGTATTCTGCGTTTGCGCACACGCATATGCGCAGTCGTAAAAGTCTTACGCGCAGGCGTAAACGCCTATGCGCATGCTTCAACGCGGCGCATGCGCAGAAAGTTTTTAGCTTTGAGGTCCAGATTATAGATCATTCCGGATTATGGGTGTCCGAATTAACGACTTTTGACTGTAATAATATTGTAGTGGGTAAATCAATTATTAGCCCACCGGATGAGACCAGATCTCGAAACTTTGTACCGTTGGAAAAGGAGGGATGTCTAATAAAACAAGTTTTATATTAAGCTAATATAAACTATATCATATGACAAATTTAGATTAATTCTTAATATATTAAAAAAAAGGGGGGGAATACACAGAGAATAATACATCAAGAATAGAATAACACATAATGTGTCATTATAACAAAATTTTTAATTTTTATAATTTGGAATAAAATTCTAGAACATAGAATATATCATGACAAGTACAGAATAATACTTGAAATATAAAGAATATATCATGACAAGTACAGAATAATACTTGAAATATAAAAAACAAAATTCAGCATAATACATAATATATCGTATAATAAAATTTAGAATTTTGAATAAAGTGCTAAAATATAGGATAATACATGATGTATCATATAATAAAATTAATAAATTGGAAATATAAAATGTAGAAGGGAATAATATTGTATTTTAGAATTCATGATCACAAATAGTTTTCAGTATTCATTAGGCAGAGTTCATAAGTCATTAAAGTGTTCATGACTATAGAGTTGATAAAAAGTTCGTGGTTTAAGTTCATATATTTTACATGACTCACACAATATTCATCATGACACAGCAAATTATCATGCTGTGTCAGGATGACATTTTTATCATGACATAGCAAATCAATATCATGACTCACCTTTTCAGTTCTAGTTTGCTGTTATGACTCAGTTTTTATATTTCATTTTGTTTATTATGGATTTTGTAAGGCTTGTTGTTACAATCAATACAAGTAAGTATTTGTTACAAAGATCGATAATTGATCTTTAAAATTCTACAAGGTTGAAAATTAAATGTTTTGTTTGTTGTAGATGGGGTTACTCTGTATAGATTTAATCCAATTATGTTAAGTTTTTGGTGAATTTTTTTTCATATTAGAATGAAGATGTTGAAGTTTGATGATCATTCTTTTGAAGGATATATCAAAATTTCTGGGTGTACGAATATGAAAATTTTTCATGAGAGGACATGAGAAAAGATAGTGATCACAGTCTCCTTTCTGGCCGCATATACAGAAGTCAGTGTCTACAGTCAAAAGTCGTTAATTCGGACACCCATAATCCGGAATGATCTATAATCCGGACCTCAAAGCTACAAACTTTCTGCGCAGGCTTCGCGTTCACGCATGCGCACAGGCGTTTACGAGAGCGCGTAAGACCCTTACGGCTGCGAATATGTTTGTGCGCATGCGCGTTTAATGTTTAACGGAGTTATACGCTAAGCTAAAGTTATCTAATTCAGTTAATGTTGCAGATTGCGTTGTTCCTTAATCTTCGAATTGGATCCGGCTTATTATTTTTTGCAGACTGTTTAGAGCAATTTTTAAAAGTAAGCTTGAACTTTCGATTATGTCAAATAGAATTTCCGATATATATTTACTACAAAGCTAAAGTATGTTTTGAAATCCGAAATCTGTTTATCAATTTCACGCTGCTCTGCGGCAGAGGTGGGGGCAGAAACGTCATTATTAGATTATGATAGATTAGAACGATTATGTCAAATAGAATTTCCAATATATATTTACTAATATGTAATTTGTATCTACAAAGCGAAAGTATGTTTTGAAATCCGAAATCTGTTTATTAATTTCACGCCGCGGATTGGAAGTTGATCTGTCAACACTATCCTTATCTTCAGAGCAGATGTTTTTATTTTATTTGGATTATAATTCCGTACTAAGTTTAGTATTTCGTCTCGATGTAC